AAGTCGTAGACGCCCAACAGCGGCGGCATAATAGGCCAGCCGTGTAGGCGGAGGCACCACTCGGCGGCGACGGAGGCAGGCCGGCGGTGAAGTCGTAGACGCCCAACAGCGGCGGCATAATAGGACAGCCGTGTAGGCGAGGACACCAGTCGGCGGCGACGGAGGCAGGCCGGCGGTGAAGTCGTAGACGCCCAACAGCGGCGGCATAATAGGCCAGCCGTGTAGGCGGAGGCACCACTCGGCGGCGATGGAGGCAGTCCGGCGGTGAAGTCGTAGACGCCCAACAGCGGCGGCATAATAGGCCAGCCGTGTAGGCGAGGACACTAGTCGGCGGCGACGGAGGCAGGCCGGCGGTGAAGTCGTAGACGCCCAACAGCGGCGGCATAATAGGCCAGCCGTGTAGGCGGAGGCACCACTCGGCGGCGACGGAGGCAGGCCGGCGGTGAAGTCGTAGACGCCCAACAGCGGCGGCATAATAGGCCAGCCGTGTAGGCGGAGGCACCACTCGGCGGCGACGGAGGCGGGCCGGCGGTGAAGTCGTAGACGCCCAACAGCGGCGGCATAATAGGCCAGCCGTGTAGGCGGAGGCACCAGTCGGCGGCGACGGAGGCAGGCCGGCGGTGAAGTCGTAGACGCCCAACAGCGGCGGCATAATAGGCCAGCCGTGTAGGCGGAGGCACCAATCGGCGGCGACGGAGGCAGGCCGGCGGTGAAGTCGTAGACGCCCAACAGCGGCGGCATAATAGGCCAGCCGTGTAGGCGGAGGCACCAGTCGGCGGCGACGGAGGCAGGCCGGCGGTGAAGTCGTAGACGCCCAACAGTTAGACGCCCAACAGCGGCGGCATAATAGGCCAGCCGTGTAGGCGGAGGCACCACTCGGCGGCGACGGAGGCGGGCCGGCGGTGAAGTCGTAGACGCCCAACAGCGGCGGCATAATAGGCCAGCCGTGTAGGCGGAGGCACCAGTCGGCGGCGACGGAGGCAGGCCGGCGGTGAAGTCGTAGACGCCCAACAGCGGCGGCATAATAGGCCAGCCGTGTAGGCGAGGACACCAGTCGGCGGCGACGGAGGCAGGCCGGCGGTGAAGTCGTAGACGCCCAACAGCGGCGGCATAATAGGCCAGCCGTGTAGGCGAGGACACCAGTCGGCGGCGACGGAGGCAGGCCGGCGGTGAAGTCGTAGACGCCCAACAGCGGCGGCATAATAGGCCAGCCGTGTAGGCGGAGGCACCACTCGGCGGCGACGGAGGCAGGCCGGCGGTGAAGTCGTAGACGCCCAACAGCGGCGGCATAATAGGCCAGCCGTGTAGGCGGAGGCATGGACGCCCATGAACGGTGGTGTGACCAACCAACCGTATAGGCGAGGACACCAGTCGGCGGCGACGGAGGCAGGCCGGCGGTGAAGTCGTAGACGCCCAACAGCGGCGGCATAATAGGCCAGCCGTGTAGGCGGAGGCACCAATCGGCGGCGACGGAGGCAGGCCGGCGGTGAAGTCGTAGACGCCCAACAGCGGCGGCATAATAGGCCAGCCGTGTAGGCGGAGGCACCAATCGGCGGCGACGGAGGCAGGCCGGCGGTGAAGTCGTTGTTGTTATCAGCAATGGCGGTGGCGAAGACAAGCCGGCAGAGTGGACTCGCGGCCGATCGACCGGAAAGCTGAGACGCCTCGAGTCCATGACCAGCATCAATCGCCTCAATAGTGCCGCGTAATTATATGCGAACAACAACAAAAAATAGCAAGAGATTAATCTGGGATTAAAAATCAGTACGATAAATAATGATAAAAATCAGATTGAGTTTCCCCCTGACTGATTTGGATCAAGTCAGAGAAGAGGAGCTTGAAGAAGTGGTCGACGGAAAGGAAGTGAAAACTCCCAAAGCGAAAACGAAGTCGGCGACTCATGAAATTGATTCCATCGCGCTTGTTGATAGGAAACTCGACGCAACCCCTACCTGGCGCGCCAACTGTCGAAACATGAATTCGGCAATAATAAAAGGGGGTAGCGCACGAGACCTAAAAGTGGATGGATGCGGAGACAAAGGATTTAGACAGGTTCAGGCCGTCTCAATGAGAGGTAATACCCTACTCCTGTTTGGGGATTTGAATCCGCCGAGTGTGTATTGATCTGACGATCAGGTTGTCTCATATATATATGCCCCCTAGAGGGCCTCCTGCCCACCTTATATAGGATGGGGGGCAGGATTACAAGATAGAAACCTTAACCAATACGGTATCGGTTTCCTAAATCAGGACTCTAGGCCGTTCCGTAATATACAAGGAAACGTAACACCCAAGTCATGATCTGTTACATATTACATAGATATAAGTTATCCCCTATAACTAGTCGGATAACCATGCTGTGTGGGTATGGGGTACCCATAATCTCCACAGCAACCTTCCAATATGCAACTTGTGGGAATTTGGCTATAAATATCGACATTGCACGTTGTGCATCTTCATCCATCAAAGTCCAATTCACTTTGCCATACGTAGAGCTGATCACTACATTGTCCTTCTACAATGGATATGATCTTCGCTCCTTTCTTTTGCTTCCTGCTGGTTCGTTTTCCACCAGTTTTCACCATATATATACAGCTCATATATTATTGTGCTGTTCTAGCTTTTCCCGTACTTCAGATTTTTTTATTTTCTTTTTCCATTATATAAAAAGTGTGTAACCTTATTTATATTTGTCGAGAACGGATCATGTGCAAGTGGTGTAACTGTCAAAAGCATCATTTTCACTAAGAAAATAGACGGAAAAACTTCTAATATAGAATCCAATTATCCAATTATATCTTTTAGTGTGTGTGTGTGTATATATAATCCAAATATAATACTTTTCTATAATTTTTTCTTAAAAAATGTTTGGAGGCAAACTCTTCCTCTAAATCTCTGTTTTTTTTCTGTTACATTCTAGCTAGTTTCCTAATACAATAATTCTCAAATTCACAATTCAGTAATATAAATTATACAGTGTTACTTCTCTGTTAATTGTTCATATTATCGTAATTAAATAATTCATAATACTCTTTTCTGTTAACTTCTCTCTTTTTATTTACCAATTAAACAATTAATTTCTCCGATGGTTCCATGTTAGGACGTATCACGTATGTTCATGACATGATTATGGTTTTTTCTGACAATTTCTACAAGTCAGGACTAAATCCTATTTTCTCAGAGTGTCTCAGCTTAGTCTCAATTTTACTTTTTTTTCCATATAATTTCTAACTTTGAAATTAATACAAAAATCATTGGGATTTGTACGGACGAAATTTTGACCACACGTGAAAATCTATTTTCACATGCGACTCTCCCAAAACGATTCGTCCATGAAAATGAATTTTCAGTTTTTTCATTATTGTAGTCGAAAAAATATTTCGTTATTGTCCAAAATGATAATTATTTTCAATCCGGAGGAAGTAATTATTTTTCGTATCTTTATAGTTAAAATAGTTCTATTGTGTGCAATACGTATACATCGTAACAAAACATAGTGAGAAAAGCTCTGCTCCAATAATCCATACATTATATTCCTAACTTAACTGATCCGAAGTTCCATTAAATGCTTTAAATTTGGCGTAAAGAAATTAATTTCATGCCATATTTATGTAGTTTTTGTGGCGAACTATATCTATCTATCTATCTATCTATCTATCTATTATATACTTATATACTAATAAAAGTCCATTAACATTTCTAAAATCGCTCTCAAGCTGACATGTGGCATCCTAAAAGCGCTCTCAAGCTGCCACGTGGTGGGAGGAGAGGAGATGAGGACCCACAAAAAAAACGAAATCCTCTCCCACAACGTCCGCATGTACGCATGCATGTGGATGCTTTCCTCCCATGCTTAGCGGCAGGATTACCAAGTAATCAGGGTTTTACATTAATAAGGTTTTTTTTCTGTTATTTGGATCGGTATGTAGGAGTCCATGTTGGGCTTTAGTCTGTTCAGCTGGCTAGGCCTTTGTGCCACCTATATATGCCATGTTCCTTGTATTAGGAGATTGGTTTTTAGTTTTCCTCTGTGTTGTGCCGCCGCCACCGCCTAGGTCAGGAAGGAGATGGCGATTCCATACGTTTTGCCAGCATCATTGCTGCGTTGGTTAATTTGGTCCTAGGCATGTTCTGATTTCTGACGAAGTCTTCTTGCTCTGATCGGCTATCATTCTTGCTGCATGAGTGGAGTTTATGTACAGGTTCCGTTAGTTTATTCATTATAAACTGAATCATCTGTCTGTTTAAATTTGATGCTACTGGAGCTATTCAGTTCAGTCTATCTGGAGTAAACGATCTTATGTGTGCGACCCTATGTACTTTGCTGGATGAGATCTCTATCTTAATATTGATGCTGCTCTTGATTCAACTGGAGATTAGGGTGTGTGTGTCTATATATATATATATATATATATATATGTGTATATATATATATATATATTCCAAAAAAACAGAAAGGATGACTGGAATTCAGACAAAATTTGGGCTAAATTTAAACAAAATTTGTTGAATCCAAAGCCCAATATAAATTGAAGAAATCATTTGAATTTTTTTTTTTGCTTAAAGTTCAATAACTATTCTTAAGAACACGAATTTCTTAAAGTTTAGAACTCCAAAACGAAGATTTGGTTTGTATTAAAAATAACATATAGTTTAGATGACAGTTCATAGGAACCAACTTCATTTTTGCGACATAATACTTTCCAATAATTAAAGATTTCATGTTTGTAAGTAATTTTAGTTTAGAATTTATGTGTTGCAAGGATAATTAGCATTCAAAATATTCACAAACAAAATATTGACAAAAAAACATGTTGCCAATAGAATCTGGAACAATCACGCATATACAAACATTATATTCACATGTGTAGAGTAATATTTCAAGCACATTAAATTAGATGCCCGTGTATATACGCGGGCTTCCTTTCTAGTTTATATAATTTGAACAACTCTTCCATATGCAGGTTTCGGCGGCACAGGGGGGAGGAAGCCATGCAGCTATGTCCCCCGAGCAATACTGGCGATCCATCCTCCCCGACAGTACCCCTATGCCGATCTCCATTTCCCAACTCCTTGGCGATGGTTACCCTTACTCACCAGCTGTTGGATTACCGAAGCGTGGAGACCGTGTTCAGATTAGGTACGGTCCGAATATTTACGGGCTTGCAGCGTCGCAGCAGTTCTTCAAAGACCCAACCATGGGACTCTTCTTCCTTGAGACAAACCTCCAAAGCAGCAAAAGTATTAAACTGCACTTCGCCAACATGATGGCTGGCACCAAGTTTCTGCCCCGAGGCGAGGCCGACGCCGTCCCATTCTCCTCCAAGGATCTCCAGGAGATCCTCGCGCGATTCGGGGTGCGGCCGGGCTCCGTGGACGCGTCGGTGGTGAAGAACACACTGCTGGAGTGCGAGCTACCGGCGAACAAAGGCGAGAAGAAGGCTTGCGCCACATCACTGGAGTCGATGGTCGACTTCGTAGCATCCAGCCTGGGGACCAGAGACATCAAGGCCGCCTCCACCTTCCTGGTCGGCAAGGACGGGGACACTCCGGCTCAGGAGTACACGGTCACCGGCGCGCGGCGCATGGCTGAAACTGGGCAACTCATCGCTTGCCATCCCGAGTCGTACCCATATGCTGTGTTCATGTGCCACCTCACAGAGGCGACGAGGGCGTACAAGGCGTCGTTGGTCGGCAAAGACGGTGCGGCGGTGGAGGCGGTCGCCGTATGCCACACCGACACGGCAGAGTGGAACCCAAAGCACGCTGCCTTCCAGGTGCTCGGCGTCAAGCCTGGGACGGTGCCGGTCTGCCACTTCGTGCAGCCTGACGTTGTCGTCTGGACCCGCCGTGGCTGATGTACTACTGCGCCGTAAATGTATAACAACTAAATCGTAGTACTACGTACCTACTGCGCCGTAGCTGTAGGAAATACTTAATATCCAGTATGTATTTGCAACTTCCATCGTTGTTGATGGTCGTATATACTACATATCTTTTCGCAAAGTACCTGTTTGTAATATGTTTCGTGATCCGTTGCTTCATCCATCTGTACCACTAATACCAGTAATAAATAATTAATAATGCTGTCTAGCAGTACTTGTTTATGTACTACATGCCATGTTTATCTACTATCAATGCTACAGAGTGCCAACGGTTGCCGTTTTCTCATTGGAGGTGTTCCTCCTCCCTTAGGTAAAAATCTAGTCCAGTTTTGCGCGGGCGTCGGTAACGGCTTCTGTCGTTGTTCATCTCCTTGGAGGCTTCGTCTTGAAGGTGCTGCTCTTCCCTCGGTCACTTCTATGGTTCGTAGTTGTTTTCTCACATGCTTTTTTTTTTGTCTACTGTGCAAGGTTTTGCGGATTTCCCTTTAGCAAACTGTGCAGACTGTGTCAACTCTCTTCTTTTAATATAACCGGTAGAACTCCTATTGTCTAATATTAAAAAAAAAGTGTGCCGGCCGGGAAACCCTATAGGTACCTTTTTTTCGACTGGTACTAACTTGGGGACACCTTTGCATGCCCATTCAAATATGTGCCAGTTTCAGAACCGGCACCTACAGAGATTACCTATAATCTTAAAAAAAATAAAAAAAAACAATTGTATTGTAGCCGGATCCGATTCTCAGCTCCAACATCACAATTTCCCAGCTCCAACCAGCATCTGCAATTCCCTCATCCACATTTCAAATCAACACAAACACACTGGATACCAAGAAGATAAAAACAAGCTAATCACATCACAGGCTCGAGCCTACCCTCGAATTTTTGACAAAAAGGAAAATCAAATATATATTATATCTGAGATGAACAGGAATGGATGAGAGATCAACACCGTTGTACAAACCCTCTTTAACCCTAGTTTACAACCCCTTTAGTCCCAGATAGCAAACCGGGGCTACGAATCCGGGACTAAATATCACAATCTTTAGTCCCAGTTAAAATAGCCGGGACTAAAAATCATCTTTAGTCCCTAAAGATGGTAGCGCCACATGCCTGGCCCATCCATCTTACCAACCAGGACTAAAGATTTTTTTTTCTTTTTTTCATTGTTTTTGATGTTTGAATATTGATTTCAAACCAAACTCAACAACAAACATCCACATTCACCAAAACATCACAAAATCTTCCACAAATTCATAGATCGAATGAACATACTCAACTTGACATCACAAATTTAAAGATCTAAACATCACAAATCAACAAAACATCATAGAAAAAAATCCCCGAGCGGCCACCTGCCCTCCCTCTCCGCCCCCTGCGCTAGCGCCAGCCGCCGCCGCCACGCGTAAGCCTCTGCAGCCGCGCGCGGGCCGCCACCGCCCTACCCCTGCCTTCGCTTGCTCCCGCTGCTGCTACGTGATAAGAAAGAGAGGAAAGTTAAAAGAAAAGGATAAGAGAGAGGGAAAATGAGAGGATAAGAAAGGAAAGAGAGAGGAAAGGGAGGAGGAGGAAGTTAAAATGAGGAGGAGAGGATAAGTGTGAGGGATTATATACTACGTGTTGATTTTTAATCAGATCTTTTTTAGTCTCGGTCTTTAGTCAAACCGGGAATAATGTGGTTTTTGGGCAACCCGGCCAAGATAGTTTCTCAAGTAGTGCAAGAACAAGCTTAGTAATAATAATGTCTACAAGAAAAGCTTTGGTTGGCAAGCCAAAATTTTTGAAGTGGTTCACCTCCACGGCTCCACCCCAACGACCACCAGCACCGGGGCTCCCGTCTTCGGCTCTAGCGGCATCACCATGGAAGACGACGGAGGAGGAGGAGCCATTGAGCTGCGTGGAAGGATTGTGGTGCAGTGCTTGGCGTTCAACGGCAGCGAGCGCACGAAGGTGGCGGCCTTTGCATTCAGCGCTGCCCTCGGAGAGGGAAGAAGTGGGAGGCATCGACGCCGATGGCGGCGCTCGGAGTTTAGATGCGGCGACGACTGAGAGGTCGTGGATGGCGGTGCCGCGGTGCCGGCCAAACGGCAAGTGGACTGCTGGCGGGAGAGGGTTGGCGTGGGGAGGGCTCGACGTTCGTAGCGCGAGCAGGCAAGCGGCAATAGCTGGGAGAGGGAGAGGGATTGAGATCCTCTGCTGTCGACTGCACCGTGCCTAGGCGCGGTGCAGTCAACTGCAGAGGATCCTGATACGAGGCAGAGACAACAGGATGAGAGAAAGAGAGGAGAGATGATAAGGACGGGTACCTGGGTGGGTGGGTCTAGGCCGGTACTGGATAAGGTCGGGTGGGTGGCTCGGCTCGGTTTCATGGGTGTCGGTTTTTAGAAAACAACACCTATTACATATTTTAGGTGTCCTTTTCCAATTATATATTAGGCAAAATTTGCCCTTGAACACCCAAAAATTGTGTAATTGGCTGGGAGACACTGTAAAATTGTGTTGCTGCTGATGGACACCACAAAATTTGTGTAATTTGCTGTAAGACACCCGAGAAAATATTATTATTTCTTATCAAAAAGAGGAGAGAGAAAATTGCCCTTAGCCCTATCTAACCCCCATTGACGGCAGCCACTTCCCAGCGCCGCTCACCAACCACCACTGTCGAAGCCGCTGTCGTCGGGCTCGCTGACCATCATCGAAGCTGTCACCGCCGCCCACATGCCAGCGCCGCTCGCCGCTACCCTCGCCATCACCGCCGCCATCGAAACCGCTGCTGCCGGGCTCGTTGACCATCACCGAAGCAGCCGCCGCCGCCGCTCGCTGCTGCCTCCGTCGTCACCACCGCCGTCGAAGCCATTACCGCCGGGCTCACCGACAGTCATCAAAGTTGTCGCCGCCGCGCACTTCCTAGCGCTGCTCACCAACCACCGTTGAACCCACGGCTGCCGCCATCAAAGCCACTGCTGCCGGGCTTGCTACTTTCATCGAAGCCATCGCCAAGCTT